GTCATACTGATATTCTGTACAAACTGTGAAGTCCACTGAGACAAATGTAACATGTGTGATATTGGGCTATATAAATAAACATTGATTGATTGAATATGGAACACCAATATCATCACTGTTGCATCCATTTGGTTTTCAAAGTCACAGAATCAGTAAAGAGGAGATCACCTGTGTGGAATTGTTTGTAGTGGCGATACACATGTACCTGGAAGGTGTTTAAAAGCCGAGGCTTCACAGGAATTGCTTGATAACAACAATATCAATGTCCTGGAGGGACTGAGTCAGATCCGAGCCAGATGAGAATCATGGCTGGACTCTAAACAGACTGTCTCTCCTCGTTTCTGATGCATCCGGACAGAGCTTGGGCAGTATTGCAGAGAACTGGGATATTTCTGTGCCAAAACAAGCTGTGTTTACTGCCAGAGGTGTCTCAATTAATAATTAAATTGGATAAGTTGAATACTAGAGTCCGAAGAAGTATGCAGATGTTATACTTAAGTTAGAATAGCAATACGAGATTGAAAAACGACTGCGTTAGTCCTTCATACTTAAGTGAAAGTACAACACATATCTAAAGTACCAAAAGTAAAAGTACATGTTTGCATGTGAGAACGACCGTTGAGCGGCCCAGACCAAGTAAGGAGGCAGAGGCAGAAGATCCAAAAATATAACCCGACGGGGCATTTATTAAACGATCAACACAATGTTACGATCACACACAATGACACAGCCTCAATAATCTGTTCACGTGCCCAGCCTGCGGCCACCAGCAGCTCTCACACACACTCACTCCAGCAACAAAACACAGCACTTAAATACACAGACTAATCAAACACAGGTGAGAGAAAACAAATAGACACAGGTGAGGGGGGAGGAGACAACCCAGGGCCCCAGGTGCACACAATCATCAGCCACAGACATTCAACATATTATTTGCACCCTGATTACCCTCAACCGCTGTCACCCTTATACCAGCATCCAGACGACATTTCAATAAATACGGTTTATGTAATACATTATGTGCAAATACCAATCCAATGTTAACTGTCCTGTGCAATCCCGCTAATAAAGTGCAATATTACCCGGCCCAAAGCCGTCAGTCCAATGTGGCCTTCGTCACATTGCACAATGGCTCATTTCAGAGTCATATTATGTTACTGGATTATGCTTATTAATGCATTAATGTGTTCATCACAACTGGTCAATTTGAAGCAACATTAACTTACTTCGTATACTGCTCCTGAATATCTTTGAGCTATAGCATGTCAGTTTTTTTTATATAGTTGATTTATATTTGCTAATAATTATGAATCTGTAAAGTAACTAAAGATGTCAGATGGAGTACAAAGTATAATTTGCTACCAAAACGTAGTGGAGTAGAAGTTTAAAGTTGCATTAATGTAATACCTAGGGAAAGTACAAGTACCTTAAAATGTCACTTATGAATGGTAGTGAATGTATACAGTATGCATAGATAAATTGGTTTCCACTTTTAATAAAAAGGCTCTTATTCTGTTCTTCAGTGCAAAAGAAAAAGCCTCATTAAATGTACTTTTCATTAAAACACCTCTGAAGGGGGTAAATACTTTTTATGGACACTTCAGCTGCAGCTATTCTAACTTTGAGTGTTTGCAAAGCTTTTTTTCTCACAACGGCAACTGGCTCGTCTGAAGCATGTGGATGTGAGGAATAACAATCGAGCGCTCATTACCTTGAGGCCAATTGTGCTGGCAATTGTGAGAGGATGACAACAGGTTGGCCAGCAGTAAAGCTCATCTTCCTCTGGCTAGTTCAACACCTGCCTGCTGGCCACCAGCCTAATTCTTTTCTGACGGCCTCAGCAGGAATGATTGATGCCCGAAGGCTTTTGACGGTGTGTGTTGCTGTGTGTTTCATTGCCAAGCTGCTCCATCCATACAGTGCCCCCTCTTGAAACTCATTTACAGCCCACCTGTCACTGCACACACTGCTTGCTTGATGTTTTGCCCTTATAGGCTTACCGGGGACACACACTCTTTCCTGATAAGCCTGGACTGTGTGGTGCTGATAATATTTGGGAAAGTCCAATCACCTTTTGGGGGAATGCTGCACAATGGTTATTGCTGACAAACGAGTTGTGCCGTAATGAGTCCTAAAGACTAAGCATTTCTGGTTCCCTTGTCCCGGTGTTAATGTTTTTTTTGTATATGTTTGTAGAAGCCTGAAATAAATTGGTTAACACAAGCTTAATAAAAGATTTTCAACTACATAATCTACATCAGTAAATACCCCACTCGTGAATGTCTTCTGTCACAAAACGGGGATGCTAACGACGAGTGACTGTGAGAAAACTAAACGTCATCACACCAACATGAGTTTGCCTTCAGGTGAGCAGTGGAGATGATGCGCATGGGACTCATGTAGTTTGTTTATAGCATTATGTTAGCTTTTTATTTCTGCAGATTGCATTTACGCTTCCAAAATCAGGAGATTATCCTGATGAACGTGGGTTGGCTGTAAAGTTTATTTTCTGCACAATACCGAAATCTAAATAGGAGCCTTTGCAATGCTCATTTCCAGTCAAACTGTCATCACTGCAAACTCAAATCAGGCAGTATAGTTGACAGGAAACTTGTGTTTATATTGCTCAAAATGTCGGTTTCTTTGCCATGAAAGAGTAAATCCCATTGCCCGTTCAACTCTGCTCCGTCCAGTCCCTCCTCACACCTATCATAAGACCACTTATATGGACAGACTTAAGCTTTTTCTCCTTTGTTTGGTGTCGATAATCGTTGCCTTGTGTATGATGACCTGAATTCATTGGGTTGTACTGAACTCTATATCCCCTTTTTATGCCACACACACACACACACACACACACACACACACACACACACACACACACACACACACACACACACACACACACACACACACACACACACACACACACACACACACACACACACACACAATTGCATTTTTCATTGGTATTTTAAGCAAAGAGTTGTGAGGTCTTAGAAGTCAGCTGGCATTAATTCCTCTGAGGGATTCAGCTTCTCCCTGGAAAGAGGCTTAAAAGAAAGTTCTCTTGCTTAATTTCTCCTTTCTCACGTATGTTGTTAGATTCCTTAGTGGACAGGAGAACAATCGGTAATTGAGTTTGTTCTGTTTAATGTCCAATAATTGGTTTAGTAAAATACCTTATTGAGATGCATTGTTCCCCCATTTGCAAATTATGAAATAATCTGACTACACAGAGAAGTTGATTAATTGTTTCAATATTTCAGGGCAATGGACTGTCAGGGGTGCATAATACATCGAGGAAAGAAGAAATACTGAGATCATTAAAGCTGCTTTGTGGAAAAAACATGACATTTAATGCATCTTTTTCAAACTGCCGTGATAGCTAGCTAGCTGTATACATGATTGCTTGAGTATCACACAACTGAGCGATGTATGCGTTAAATGAAACGAAGCATAAATGAACTGAAATAATCTTAATGTACATAAGCTGTGGTATCAGGGGCCAAGGTTGTAAGTCCATTAGATATGCTTCTCCATTCGCATCACATTTACTCTGGCCAGTTTGGAGATCCAGCGATTGGCATGTGTGATACTGTGGGATGACGTTTGAACAAAACCAAACTTTTGGTACAGGGCAATGGCGGCCGTCTGTGGCGAGCTGCCATCCACTACCAGCCGGCCGTATCCTCGCTCTTTGCAGAAATCAAGGGCCTTCCTCGTCAGCTGTGAAGCGAGGTTTTTGCGTCGCCACGGGAACACCACGACCATGTGGGACAACTCGCCGAAACTCCCATCACCGGCATCTTGAACGACCTCTGATCCTCCTCCCATCGCTCCTCCGTTCCACTCATCAAACCTCTCCTCTTCCTCTGTTGCCCTTTCCCCCTTCACCGCCACCATCCCCACCACCTTGAGCTGGCCGTCTACGTCTACCTCTGCCACCCAGAAACCGTTATCTGGGTTTTCCAGGTAGTTGGCTCGAATGTCGGACAAATCTGTGCTCAGCCTCCTGGTCAGGTAGCCTTGGTAGATCTGGTGGCAGCAGTAATAAAGGAGGCCGGCCCACGCACTGCCAAAGAGTAAAGCTTGGAAGTAGGAGCTGCCTCCCAACACATAGCCGGCCATGCAGATGCTCAGAGCAACGCCAACATGGTCTGGGTGGCTCAGGGTCTTGAAGAAAGCCGGGTACACGTGCTCAATAACCCCGTCGCGAAAGAGCGACATGACCACGTGTTCATCGGAGGGTCCATATTCCCTGATGGAGAACTGAACTGTGTTTTAGAGAGAGAGAGAGAGAGAGAGAGAGAGAAAAGGGGAGCTCAGTGAGACTAATCTGCCTCTTGCTGCAATAACACATTCCTGCAGGATTTCACAATAGCCTCAGTTACGCTCACATAACTTCATTATGAAAAGGAAAAAAATAAAATCAATATAAAATCCAAGCCTTTTCATTTCTTATTTAACTCGACTCCACATGAACATAAGGCCTGGCATTTGAAGGTGAAAATCACAATCAAAAATTATTTATTATAGGCTTTGTTTCTCTTAAGATGTAAAGAGTGGTAATCATTGTTAGATGCTATTAAGTCTCAAAAGCACAATAAAACCAACGCAAGGTGAGAACACTGCAACAAACAAAAGCTCTGTGTTTCATTGAAGTGTGTCATATAGGCATGTTAGTAGTGCCATTCATCTATATTCTAGCTGTCTTCTTAGTGCTCTAGTTCATAATCAACTCAACTACTTGAGAGAAAAANCCACACACACACACACACACACACACACACACAGGGGGGGGGAAACGTGTGGACCTTAAATGACTTTGAAGTAGAACTGCTACTGATATGAAATATTGATTACATAAGAAATGTAACATTTAGATTAAGATGACGGTGATTTGAGGAAGCATGCTTTCTATTTAATGGAAATCCACACTGTGTTGCTTTGATTATGAAACTTAGTATACGTCTTAAAAACTGAATTGGCTCAGTAAACAGAGAAAACAACTACTTTATTGGATTTGTCAATGAAGATGAGCGTGCATCCTGAATAAATTAAGTCTGAATTGAGCAGAAAGTGAATTAAGGGCTCATTCGAGCAGACTAAAATGTCCTTATTGACCTCTTTTTTTAGTGCTTTAGTTCTGGCATTCTCTCAGGAAACGGCATGTCCTCTTCACCGGAATATAAGGTGAAAGTAAAATGAATATTGTCTGGCCCCCTGACACCAAAGTGTCCTATGGCGGCGGTGACAGTGTCTTGTGCAATAACCCGGGAGCCCTCTGACATGATTACATTTCCTTGGCAGGAGAAAGGCCTTTACACCTGTTTAAATCAATAGCGCTGCCTCATGAATCTCTGAGTGCTAGAAGGTCAAGCAACCCTGGAAGTTTCTCACACCTCTTCACAGCCACAACATGAAGTCTGAATCCTGTAAAAACAAACCCTCACAAAATCGAATCACAATTAAAACAGTCATCATAGAGAGCGGATGATTACAGCAACCACAATAAAACCTCAACGTTTGTGATTAATCGGGAAACCTTAGCGCGTTCAGAAAAATGTACGCTAAATATTACCAACTTTAACCCGAACTTCCTCCTTTGATTCCAGCGCCGATTTTTGCCATGAATTGCATGGCAGTGAAAAATCAAATAACACACAGGAATTGGTGCTCAGTGTGTTGCACTGACTGGAGACAATTAGACTTCATTAAGAACCACCACTATATTGGTGTAACAGCACACCTAATCCGTAACTGCACTCCAGAGAACAGAGAACAGGCATTTTGCTGAAGCATGTGCGAAACATTTCTCTTCCCAGTTTGTAATGCATTTCTTTATTAAAAAACCACATGTGTGTTTGTTTTATTTCCCACAGAAAAAGAGGTAAATACTACTGGTCTGTTCTGACAAACGTTCTACTGTAAAGTTACAATGGCATCTTTCTATATAAGGATGGACGAACTACTTTTCTTTAACATGATTTCATTTTGAATTGAAAAAAAAAGCTTAAGCAGCTCAAGGTTAAATACTTAAAGAATTCAAATGCACAAAGGGACTGGAGCACACTGATGACTGGAGACTTTAATTGTGTGAATGAGTCACAAAGTGCCTTTCTTTCACCTGACTGTCCTTCAGCTGACAGGTGCCTGCTCAGCTGCTTGCTGTATGATGCACAGAGGACTGAGTCTAAATTAGATTTAAAATGCACATCCTGGCGGCCGGATTAAGATCAATGCAACACATTTCTCATGTGAGTCATCTTATGTGCTCACACGAAAAGATCTGTCAGTATGAGACACTGTGAACTGACTTTATGTCGTTAGGGAGATTCTTCTTATGTCAGTCTATATTCAAATAAAATAATAATATAATAGAGAAAAACATTTTTAAAGAAATATTTGTGCAAAATCAATATTCAAACCATCTGTCCACGTCCTTTTACTTTCAGACTTCAAAATAATACACAACAGAACCCTTTATATAAAGCATGTTGGCAAATAAGGTCCGAACAACCTCAGAAAAACAACTTAATGGTTCTATGCCTGGGCACAGTCGGAGTTTTTAAGGACTTCTCAAATCTAATAAAAATGTTAACTCAGCAAGGTATTCAGCAACGGAGAAGCTTGAGTAAGATTCGCTCACAGCCACGATGGTTATTTATTAAGGTTTCAACCGAAAACACATTTTAAAATCCAATCGTACGGCACCTTGTGAGGAAAAAGTCATCTTTATCTTAATGTTTCTTCCTAGCTGGGTTTAGCTGCATGCCGCTGATTGCTGCAACATGCTAGTTAGCTTTAAGTCTTTAGCTCGTTGTTGTTAGCTAGCATGTTGTTAGCTCGTGATTAAACACTCAGTATTTAGTGACTTGGATCTAACTCAACTAAACGCCAGTTATTATATAATATTAGAGGGGGTTGACCTTTAGACTAACGGCACTCTTCAACTCAACTTTATATTGAAACTCTGCCATTTTTTCTTTGGTAAAATGCTATACCAGTGGGGATGCTAATTAGTGTTTACCACTTAGACTGATTAAAGTTATAAACAGTGATGGTAGACTACTGAGTGGACCGTGACATTCAGATGAATCTATTCATCAAGCCAGACACTGTACGCTAGCTTGGGGGAGTGACAGTAGGATTAAAAGGTATTTTAAGGTCAGTAATACAGGCAATAATTAAACATTTTTTGCATCCGGGAGGCGTATATATGCGTTTTAGGTTGGAATAAATTATTTGTAACTCGTGAAAAGATTCATTTTGGATGCAGGGTTCCCTGGCAATTAGCAGACAAAAGTTAAAATATCCATAAATGTTAACATAATGACCTCAATATGTAGCACTCTCACTGCTATTGGCTAGCGCTCCAGCACTATACGTGATAGACTAAGGGGCGGGACATCTCTAAGCGGTTGACCAATCACAACAGAGCCGGCCAGCTAACCAATCAGAGCAGACTGGTCTCTGGTTTCAGACAGAGAGTGAAAAGAGGTGCTGCAGCACAGGCAGTATGAGACAAATAAAGAGCTTTTTGAACATTAAAGCATGGAGACATGTCCCAGTAGAGACACTACATACTGATATGAACCTGAAAATGAGCAGCATATGTCCTTTTCAACATTGAAAGTGAAATGGATAGACTGTAACTGGAATGAGAAGAAGTCTTAAACAAACATTTGATGATACATGTTCTGAAACACTGAGGTAATACAATCATTTTCACAATCACTTTAAAAAAGGCTATGGACAAAGTAACTTGGATTGAATTTAAAGCAATGACCAGTTATTGTAATTTAGCTGTTGAATTAATCAAGTCATCTTTGAACAACAAGAATGTGTCATGGTATGAATTGCTTCACAACATAATATTTCCTCATCACAGGCAGTATTGACTTCACTTGATAAAATAAGCTAAGAGTACTTCAGAGTTGATTGCTCCTCGTCATGTAACACAAAGTCACCAGAAAAAAGGTTAAAGTTGCCGTGGAAACTAACCACTGATGTACACTGCATGCTCCACTTCTAATGGGGCCATGAGTGTCCAATGAATTATATTTGTATTCATGGTCGTGTACTTGCAGGCGCATTGTGGAAGAAAGAGCCTCTTTGGTATGCTTGTCATAGAGCTACAACATTAAAGGATTAAACCATTACATTATGGAGTTTTTACCTGCAGCGCCTATAGCCAGAATTTCAACGCACCTCAGACAACTTTAATTCCAACCCACTGCTCTCTTCAGAAATCCTGAGCTGTATTTAAATGTACTCGTGGCTTTCTGTATATTAAATATGCATATAGGCAGAGTCAAAACACTCCCAAGTGATTTCCTTTTAGTTGCAGACGTCCTTCATTACTAGAATAATGCATTTGCTTTTGTATCAAATTAAATGTATGAATATGCTTCGGCATGTTTGAGGTCTGAGAGTGTCCCAGTGAAAATGAAATATGGAAATTGAGTTGGATCTGTTAGTTTTCACCTATGAAGTACATGAGGGTGGGAGCTGATCATTTATTATGCACAAGGAATGGCAACCAAGATATACAATATCTCTGAGCAAAATCAAACACTCTACAACACTAATCTGGTCACAATTTCTAAAGATAAATAATCTTAATGGTGTATCTATGTTGGGGTCAATGGAAGTGCACAGTACATTTACAATATGTATGTCTCAATCCCACCTTACTACTACAACTATCCAATGAGAGTTATTTGTATTGAGTCATAAGGGGGGGGGTTATGCCCCTGTGGGTTCATCTGGAGAGGGTGTGGCTGTGCAGCCTTGATTGCAGTAACTCAGGGCACCTAGGTCTGGTGCTCTGCGGCTACTGGCCGTTTCTCAATCTCGAGGAAACTGGCTTCCAAACCAATATTTCAAGGATGCTACGTCATCGAGTGCCACCGCAGGACTGTTCCAATCTCCAGCATACTTGGAATTCCACCGAGGCCGCGTCCTTGGTTTGGGGAAAATTTCGAGACTGCACATGGGTAGACTTCGCGTTCTTAAAATCCCCACAATGCTTTGCGCACGGACCAATTTCAAAAACCCTTACGGAGAATGGCTGAACCGACGCAGCACACATTTAAATGTAAGTATGTAGTGGCGTAGAACATGTGTTAGTAAATATGTTACTTTGTTACATTTGTTATCACCAAAAATGTGTTCCGTGAAAGTAAAGCAAGTTCATAATTAGATAGACATGGTGAGGTAGTTATTTTCGGTACAGTTTATGTTGAAACCGTTAGAGAGAGTGGCACACTTGTTA